GAGGCGAGGTCAGAATCGCCCCCAGGTCCCGCCACACGCAAGGCGTGGCCTGGGGCGGGGCCAGGGACACACTCGAGGCAGGCCCGGGCCACTCACCTGCTCACGCTTCAGCTTCTCGCGCTTGCGCATTAGCTCGATGAGCAGCCGTGCGCGCTCCAGGTCGTGGCGCAGCCGCTGCCAGTACTTGAGCTTCTCCTTGGCGGCCTTCATCTCTTCATCGTTTTCTCTCTGGGGGGCAACAGAAGCTGCCGTTGGGGTCTGCACGACCTCAGGCCTTCCGACGGCATCCTGGTGGCCTGGGGGAGCCCGGCCTCCAGCCAGCAGGCGGCAGCCAGGGCTCTGGGGCGCCAGGAGCACGGGGAACACGGCAGGTGGCCTCTACGAGATTCTGCCAGGGGGGTTCACGCTGAGAGCCTAATGAGAGCGTAAGGGCCCGAGGGTCCCGTGCTAACCGCAGATACCTTCTGCTTCAAGTGACAAACCGCACGCAGCTGGGAAGCTCGTGTCAGACACCACTGTCGGCCCCTGGACACGCAAACAGCAAGCCCTGTGGACCAGCCGGCACCCTGCTCCTCAACGTCCCCGAGGGTGTAAAACAGCCTGGTGTGGGGGCACAGGCTGGGCCCGAGTGCTCGTGCCAGAGCGCTCCAGCTCTGGGCTCTGCACGCCCGTGCTCCTGCTGGGCCAGTGGCACTAACCTCACCAGCAGGGGGCAGGAGACACCTCTGGGTGGCTAGTGCACTCAACCCTCTTAGGGTCCAGGCCCATTTGTTTCCATCCTTCATGATTTCATCCAGAACGTGAGGGGGTGTGAAATCCACCTGACAGTCTCCATGGCCAAGTGCCTCCACGTGGCCCTCACATCCACTACCGTATGAGCCTGGTGACCAAGGCCCCTCCTAACACACGGGCCATCTGAACGTGCCCCAAAGGGGAGAGGGCCACACAGTGGGCTGACCATCAGAGACCGGCTCAGAGTCCAGCAGACCCATGCAGGGTGCTGGCAGCCTCACCTACCACCCACCCCTCCTCTTCCAGAACTCCCTCCTCCCCACCCAGCACACAGAAGCACCTTGGCCTGCCTCCCACTACTTCACCGGCCCCACCCCCATGCCTGGCCCCCCCACATCAGAGCACCCCTAGTCCTCGACGTAAGAGCCCAGCAACATGCTCCCGCAGGTCTCCCGGCCCCCGTGTACCCCTAAACTCCCCCACAATCCCCACATGCCCCCCTACAAGTCCCCACATGGGCATCTTCCACTCTCGGCTCTGATGTCTGCAGAGCTGCCAGGCCACCTAAGGGGACACCACGCCCAGGAGACCCCAGGGCAAGGCAGAGACTGTGCACCTGGTGGGAACTGCGCTGGGACTGCAGGCTGGACTGGAGTCTCCGCAGCAAGGGTGCCCCGTTCCTCGACAGCCTCTTGAGGAGCCAGTAGCTGTGAGCTCGCTCCACAAACTGCTTCTTCCGCTGGATGGCCACCTGATCTGCAATCTTATTTAATCTGAAATACGAAAAATTCAGTTTAGCTCTGATGGGTCCAGCCCTGGAGACCATGAGGATGTGCAGCCCTTCCCCCAGCCCACTGGGCACAAACTCCCAACAGGCAGACGTCCCCCCAACTGTTAAATCACTGAGGGCTCTTCCGTTAGCCCCACAAGGCTGCCTGAGAGCTTCCACCTGGCCCCACTCTGCTGCCCAACCAAAAGCAGCTCCCTGGCCAGCCTCACGAGTACAATCACACCGTCCTCGCCATGACAAACCAAGTACGAACCACAGAGAAAGCACAACAAGTCGCCCTTCATGAGTGCCAAGAAGCAAGACTTCAGGGCCGAGATACAGACTCTCAGACCACATGATAAAAGAATGCAAACCACAGGCATCACAAGCCAATCAAGAGAGGACACCACCTCCACTGCGTCCCAAACAACAGCCTCCAACCCTCCAGGCACCAGCAGCTCTGCCACAGGCATCCCAGTCATATGAAGCCCACAGGTGCACTCCGGGAGTGTCAGGCGGTGACACACAGTGCACATGTGTACTCGGGGAGCATCAGGAGGAAACACATAGTCCACACGTGCACTCAGGAGTGTCAGGCGGTGACATGTAGTCCACATGTGCACTCAGGGAGCATCAGGCGGTGATGTGTACCCCACACATGCACCCGGAGCACCAGGCAAGGACACATAGTCCACATGTGCACTAAGGGAGCATAGACGGTAACACACAGCCCACATGTGCACTTGGAGCATCAGGCAGTGACACGCAGTCCACACCTACACTCGGGGAGTGTCAGGCGGTAACACACTGTGGTAGTTAAGCTTGTGTGTCAACACGGCTGGGCCCGGCTGAGCGGCCCCATGATGAGAACGACAATCAGCTCCATGGTGCAGTCCACTGCGAGCAGCTGAGCAGCTGCTTTAGGGATGTGCTCTGATTCCTATATTGAAGCAACAGCTTTGGGAATGGTCTCCAGCTCACAGCACTTGAACCCTGCATGTAGCCATGTCGTTGTTCAGCAGCCCACCATGCTCTGCCAACCTTGGGACTTTCAAAGGACTTGGATGAATGGCCTGCCATATGACTTGGTAACATTGGGACTGTGCCTTTTTACTCGTCAACTTTGGGCTTGTCAGCCTCAGCAGCCAGCAGCTGTCTGAGTGAAGGAAAGCCTCCAGCTTCAGTGGGCCGGAAGCAGGAGGCAGAGCTGCAACCCAAGTTTGAAGGGCTTTCACCCAACCCCTAGAGCCTGGCACTCTGAACTTAGACTTAAAGCCTCCAAAGTGTAAGAGAATAAACTCCTGTTTGTTAAAACCATCCTGTTTATGGTATATTCTTGTCGGAGCGGCACTAGGTAACCAAATCACATAAAGTCAGACAGGAACACCTGCAAACATGCACTCGGGGAGCGTCAGGCAGTAACATGAATTCTACATGTGTGTTCGAGGAGCATCAGGCAGTGACATGTAGTCCACACGTACGCTCAGGGAGCATTAGACGGTGACACGTAGTCCACATGTGCACTCGGGGAGCATCAGGCAGTGACATGTAGTCCACCTGTGTGCTCAGAGGCCGTCAGGTAGTGACACGTAGTTCACCTGGGTGCTCGGGGGGCATCAAGCGGAGACACAGTCCACACACGCACTCAGGGAGCATCAGGCAGTAACATGTGGTCTACCCATGCCCTCAGGGAGCGTCAGGTGAAGACATGTAGTCCACATGTGCACTCGGGGACCATCAGGCAGTGACACATAATCCACACGTGCGCTCAAGAAGCATCAGGCAGTGACATGTCCATGCATGCGCTTGGGAGCATCAGACAGTGACACGTAGTCCACACGTGCACTCAGAGAGCATTAGACGGTGACACGTAGTCCACACGTGCACTCGGAGAGCATCAGGAACTGACACGTAATCCACCTGTGTGCTCAGGGGGCGTCAGGCAGTGACACGTAGTCCACCTGTGTGCTCGGGGGGCATCAAGCGGAGACATGTAGCCCATGCATGTGCTCGGGGAGTGTCAAGCGGAGACACGTAGTCCACACATGCACTCAGAGAACATCAAGCAGTAACACGTAGTCTACCCATGCCCTCGGGGAGCGTCAGGTGGAGACATGTAGTCCACACGTGCACTCGGGGAGCATCAGGAAGTGACACGTAGTCCACACATGCACTCAGGAGCATCAGGCGGTGACACATCCACGCATGTGCTTGGGAGCGTCAGACAGTGACACGTAGTCCACATGTCCACTCAGAGAGCATCAGACAGTGACACGTAGTCCACACATGTGCTCGAGGAGTATCAGACGATGACATGTAGTCCACATGTGCGCTTGGGGAGCATCAGACGGTGACACATAGTCCACGTGTGCATTCGTGGAGTGTCAGGCAGTGACATGTAGTCCACACGTGCACTCAGGAGCGTCAGTCCATGACAATCAATGTATACACTCAGGAAAGCATCACACAGTGAAACATATTATCATCCATATGCCCTCGGAGCCTGCCACAGTGACGTGTAATTCACACATGTACTCAGAGCATCACACAGGGACAATCCATGTATGGAAATGGACAGTGAGCCTGGCTGTGTAGCTGGAAGGATGCAATTAGTGTCCCAGAGTTATCCATCAGAAACTGCTGAATTGGTGTTTTATTGTGCATGTTTTACCACAATAAAGAAAACTCGTTTTTCAATAAATAAGTATGTAATGATTACATGATTAACATAGTTGATAGCATTAAACCATAAGCTGAAAACCGCTGACCCGGCAAGTTTCACAGTTAAATAAACAAGTAACTACAGACGTGTGTACACATGGGCACATGTACACGTGGGCTAGTATGCTCACATGAGTTCTAGGCCTGTCTGGAGTGAGGGCCTGGAAGCAGACACCCCAGGAGCAATGAGCACGCACAGCCCCCAGACCTTGGTTTCTAAGACCTCTCTCCTAGAAAAGGAACCAGGACTCCTTGGAGAGATGGCTGATCCCAGGGTGGGGTCAGAAGGTACACTCCATGAGCCTGGAGTGTCACCTGGTACCACATCTTACACAACAGCTCAAGAAACAAAGCCATGGGGCCAGGGCAAAGGAACCAGGACTCCTTGGAGAGACGGCTGATCTCAGGGCTGGGGCAGAGAGTACGCTCCACGAGCCTAGAGCGTCACCTGGTACCACATCTTATGCAATAGCTCAAGAAACAAAGTGATGGGGCCACGTCAAAGAGCTCAGAGCTAACTGAAATCACTCCCGATGGCCAAAGCTGGAACATGTGATCAACAAGACAGAGAACACCGTATTGGGTTACAACCCAAAATATAAACAGATACCCACGCACCCACACTCACACGCATAAATACCCACACGTCCACACTCATGTGCATAGATACCCATGTATCCGCACTCGTGCAGAGGTGCCCACACGTCCACACTCGTGCACAGAAACAGCCACACGTCCACATTCGCATGCATACAAAGCCATGCATCCCCACTAATGTGCATAAATACCCACACATCCACACTCACGCACAAATACCCACACGTTCCCCACTAATGCACATAAATACTCACACATCCACACTCACAAGCATAGATACCCATGTGTCCACTCTCACACGTATAGATCCTACACTTCCACACCCGCACGCATAGATCCCCACATGTATGCACCCGCGCAGACACCCATGCATCCACACCCGTGCACATACACAGCTACACGTCCACATTCACATGCATAAACAGCCATGCGTCCACACTCACATACACAAATACCCACGTGTCCACACTCACATGCATAAATACCCACACGTCCACATTCACGTGCATAAACAGTCATGCGTCCACACTCACGCATAAATACCTATGCATCCATGCTCACACGCATACCCATGTGTCCACACTAATGGGCATAAATACCCACGCATCCACACTCACCCATAAATAGCCACGTGTCCACACTAACGTGCATAAATACCCAAGCATCCACACTAACATGCATAAATACCCACGCGTCCACACCTGCACGTACCCATGCATCCAAACTCGCACATAAATACCCATGTGTCCACACTTGCACATAAATACCCACGCCCCTGAACAAACTAAGAAATGGGTGAGAAGATGTGTATCTCCCATGCAGACTCCCACACAATTTATGTAGACCCCCACCCCCTATGTGGGCTGTGCATCGTGGTGTTACCCCCCCAGAAGACAACATGGACTTCATTGTGGAGAAGCTGACAAGCATGCCTCAGCCAGGTCTCAAGGTGAAGCTTGCAGTGGTCAGGCACATACCCTGATGTGACGAGAAGGCCACTTCTGTGGTCCTCCTTCCCAACACTGACCATCTAGTCATGAGAAAAACATGAGCCAGATCCCAACATGCCTTCTAGGATGGCCGTCCTACAGAACTCTGAGCAGCACTGCTGCGTATAATCCAGGAAGCAGAAGCAAGGCAAGTCTGGGGAACTGTCCAAGCCGAAGGGCCGAGAGAGATGCAGTGACTAGTGTGACGTGGGGTCGGGACTCTGGGGAGAGACACGAGGTAAAAGACAGTGGAATGCCATCAGTGTGGCACTTGGTCAACAGCAGGTGGGGTGACAAGCACCACAGCGTGCCCAGAGTCACTGACGGACACTGGGCAGTGGGCTAGGCCCACTCTCCGTCTATCACTTTCCTGTGAATCTGAAACTATGAACAGTAAACGTCTGTGTTTTAAACCTAGCGATCTACAGCACAAGGACAAGACCAGGCAGAGCATGTGGGCTCACTGCAAGGCAGGTACTGCAACTAAGACCCCAGCCCGTGACTCCCCAGAAGCACAAGCCGACGCGTTCACACCCAGCCTCCCCAGTCCTGGGGCTGCCATTTCTCTACCAAAGTCACTGGCCCAGCCTTCCCACCCTCCAGGACCCTGCTGGGTGTTCAGGGAACTTAGGCTTCCTCTCCTAAGGACATGGCACTGAGGGGCCAACGAGGGTGGGACGGGGAGTCCACAGGCACA